TCAATGTTTCACTAATGAGAGAAGCACAGAAGAAAAAACAAATGAAGCAGGTATAATATTAAATCTAAATGAATATAAAGTAAAAAAAAAAATGATTTCTGATTTTATGGCATGAGTGAAGTAATAGCCCACTTTTGATATTTTGGTTTGACAAAACCATGCACAAAAGAACTGGAGACAAGGCTCTGGGGCGAGTATACATATTGTTTCTCAAGAACCACCATGTTAAACTCTATTTGTTTGTGTGGTAATTGAACTAAATGTTAAATACTGGATGGGACTATGAACTCTTATAGTCCAGTCGCTGGTCCCTACTCTTTGCTCCGCTTTARATTTTGTTGCCAAAGACTAGGGTTCTTCTCTTTGGCGACAAAACAAACATAGGAGCAAAGGGAAGGGGACAGCGACTGGACTAGAACTCTTAGTGCAYTCAACCTTGCAACTCCWTAAACTTTGTCTAATTTTTGATTATCCTCACAACAAGTKCATTTTGAGTCATTTTGACTAACGCAATAAAGAAATTYRCCGGTTTAAACCAGTCTCCCCTTYTCAAAAACCTCCAAACCCTRGAGATGTAATATTGATGTAATATCTTTGTGAAAATTACTCTTAGACTCAAATTGAAATTGAGAAAGCTCTAAAGGAAGACCCCAATGTATATGAATATGATAACATATACGATGAGATGGCTGAAAAGAAAAAAGCTGCAATACCAAAACTTGCTGARAAAGATAGAAAGGTCAGTATCAAAAGGATTTTTTTCAGTTACTTGTTTACAAATACTGTGGTTGTGTACACTAGAACAAAATATCTTGAATTTGTTGCTCGACCATTCCCATGCAAATCTATGTATCCATAAAAACCACAAGTTGGATTCTCTTTGGGTCGCAAAAAACAAGGAAGGAAATTAAAATTTTTTAAGGAAGAGTACTTTGTGAAAGTCGATATGTTTGTTTACACTACATGTAAGAATCACTGAATCTGGTGTCGATACTTGTGTTTTGTTTGTTTGTTATTGTTTTTTTTACGTGTTTTTTTTATGTTTAGCCAAAGTACATCAAAGGTTTGCTGGAATCTGCCAAGTCCAGAAAAATGGAAGACGAACGTCGCATGGAAAGAAAAATCCAGAAAGAAAGAGAACAAGAAGGAGGGGAATTCCAGGAAAAAGAGGAATTTGTTACATCGGCGTATCCTTTTGAGATTGTATTTCTGATTTTTGTTTCTGTAGCTCTTGGAGTTGACAACATTTATGAAATCCCAGGCGTTAGATAGACCTTAATTTGAGGAAAAGGTATCGCAAGAGAATGATAGAGTTGCAAGAAGAAGAGGAACGCATAAAGAAGCAAGAGGCTCTTGATGGTAAGAAAATTCCATTGCTATCTTCCCCGATATCTTTCTTGTTGGGCCAGTCAGCACTGATTGGAACTGGTTGAGAATACAATGGACAAACAATAGATAAGTCTTCTAAAAATAAAACAAAACCTAACCTCACAATATAAAGCAATCAAAAAGCGGGTTTCGATCGGTGCTGTATTACTGTTCTTGTTGGACTTTTCATTCACTCATTTGCAAACTTGATCACTAAATGAAGGTTCAACAACAACTCTATTATTCACATACAACGGGCGTTCTAACCCAATTGAGAACTCTAYATAACGACCTCGCTTAAGTCAACTACACAAGGCGTCCTCGTTGGCGGCTCGACGCGCAACCACGACCAAACATCAATGATGATGTGTTTAGTACGCAGTAATGTGGGTGCGCAACTTGCTGTAGTGACACTAAATACCATTCTAAATAGAGAATATTAGCTATGAAAATCAAATCCTGAGTTTCAACTAAAACATTTGTCTTAATTTGTGTGTGTTTCAGCCGCAAATGATGTCACCAAGAAGTCTGATCTGACAATGTTTTACAGCAATTTGCTAAAGCATAACGTATCCATGGGTGGTTCATTTGCTGTGGATAATAAAACTGATAGCACTGATAATGACAGAAAAGATAATTCGAGTAAAGACAATTCAGAAAAAAAGAACAAGTTGGAAAGGGAAGACAAATCAGATACGCACAAAGAGAGTAGGGATTCCAGGAAAGATTCCCAACGATCACGTTCAGATCGTGAAGGGCATCGTTCAAGTTCGAGCCGACATCATGACTCCGATCGCCGTCGTAGAGAACACGATAAGAGACGAAGTCCAAGCGAAGAAAAAAGTTATCGAAAGGAAAAAWGTGATAAGCAAAGAGCATCCCGAAAAGAATCCGAGGAATCCTCTCGGCATCATTCGGAAAATCGACGTGACTCCGACAGTCAAGAAAAATATTCCCGATCTAAACACGAGGACGAAAAATCTGAAGAAGGCAGTTCTCGTGAAGAAAGAACATTTTCTCCCAAAAATGAAACAAAAACCGACATGTCAGTTGTGAAAGAAGGAGAGGAAGCTAGTGTTCCTAGTAAATTTGTCAAACGAAGTAACAACGAAAGTATTTCGTCGGCCAGGGAAAGGTTTTTGGAGCGAAAACGTGCGCGTGAAATGCAAAGAAAACAAGAAGACTCGGATGAAGACTGATTTGTTTGAATAGCATGAACTCGTAACCAAAGCTATAGGCAAATGGTCTTTACCTAATGACGTCATGTTTCGTTTGCCCATCAAATTTATAGAAGTGTCAAGATGGCGGASTTTTTGTAAAACCGAACTACATCTACAAAGCCGTGACGAATAAATAATTAGTCTCGAAAAACAGCCTCTAGGGAAGAGGACCATTGGCACGACAAGCCGTGCCATAACTTTAAGATTTAAAAGGACAAAAATAAATAAATTATAAGAGAAAAGTGATTTATATTGTTTCCACCAAGAATTTCAGTCAGTTATTTGTGTGCGTCATTAATTTTATTTTTTCTATTTGTGTGCGCAAGCAGTGTTTTTATTTATTTTTTTATTTGAGTGCGTCATTGTTTTTATTTTTTTCCTATTTGGTTGTTTCAGTGTGTATATTTAGTTATTTTTTTCTGCTTGGGTGCGTCATTGTTGATATTTTATTATTTTTATTTGCGTCGGTGTTTTTATTTTTTTTTATTTGTGTGCGTCATTGTTTTTATTGTTTTTTATTTATTTTTTTATTTGAGTGCGTCCTTGTTTTTATTTTTTTATTTTTGTTTGCGTCAGTGTTTTTATTTATTTATTTTTTATCCATTATTTTTATTTTATTTTTGATATTTTTGTGTACGTCAGTGGTTTTATTTTTTATTGCGGTGCGTCATTGTTTTTATTTAGTTTTTTTAGTTTTTGTGTGCGTCAGTGTATATATTTTTCTATTTGTGTGCGTCATTAGCTTTAATTATTTTTTTTCAATGTGTGAGCGTCAGTGTTTTTATAGTATTTTTTTATTTGGGTGCGTCAGCGTTTTATTCATTTTTCTATTTGCTGGCATGGGTGCTTCATTCTTTTTATTTTATTTTTCTTTGTGTGTGCGTAAGTGTTTTTATTTTTTGTTTATTTGTGTGCGTCAGTGTATTTATTTATTTTTCTTTTTGTGTGCGTCAGTGTTTWATTTTTTTATCTGTGTGCGTCAGTGTTTTTATTATCATTTTTGTTTATTTGAGTGCGTTTTTTTTTTAAATTTGGGTGTCAGTGTTTTTATTTTTTGTATGTGTTTATTTTATTTTCTATTATGCTGCGTCAAAGTTTAGTTTTTAAGTTTTTTTTTAATTTGGGTGCGTCAGTGTTTTTTTTTTTCGATTTGGGTGCGTCATTTTAGCATATTTTCCTCTCTGTGCGTCATTGCCTTTTTTCTGTGTGTGCGTCGGTATATCTTTATCATGTGCCCTAATGCTTTGTTTTTTTTCTCGTGTGTTATTGTGCCACGTTTTTTTCTGTAAATGCGTCATTAACTTTATTTTTTCCTCAAGGGTGCGTCATTCTTTATATTTTATTTTTCTTTGTGTGTGCGTAAGTGTTTTTATTTTTTTCTTTTTGTGTGCGTCAGTGTTTTTATTTGTTGTTTATTTGTGTGCGTTATTGTTTTTA